CCATATCGATGGGTGTGTATGTGTGTGTGTGTGCGTGTGTGTGTGCTTAGTGAACTAATGGCCCCTTGTGCCGACTGATGAGCATTGGCCCTGGCCCTGTCTCTGGCTCTGTCTCTGTGTCCGGCTCTGGCTTTGGCTTTGGCTCCGTTTCTGGCTTGCATTTTTGTTTACTTTGCGCGCACGCACGGATTTTCTTCAATAGATTGATGGCAACAACTACAGCTTGGACTGATGATTGCCGTTCATGGACATGGACATGAACATGTGTCTGTGTAGTGAAAATACAGCCAGATGGATTGTGTAAACAAGTTGGAAATTATGGCATTAAGCAGCAAAATGCGTTGTAGTTTTTCTCAGCCTGTCTGTGTGTGTAAATCAATAAATTATTTGTTAAGCAGTCGAAATTAAGGAATTTCTTGGGTCTAACTAATATTGTCATGAATCGTACATTTTGATTTATGAACATTTTCTGAAGAAAAATGAAGCTTGTAATACAATATTTATATATATATATTCATATTCTTCATACAGATAGCCATATCTGCCTGTCTGTTTGTATGTTGCTATGCAATCTCGTTTCGCAATTTTAAAGATTTTTTCACAAAAGTTGTAGCTCCGTATTTCTGTCCCAGGCAAAACAAATGTCGTAATCGGTCAGACTCGGCTGACGAAACGATCGTCTTTATATGGAAAATATTTTTAGTATTTTGAATTATTCTAAAGTAAACTTTCAAGACCTAAAAGTGTACTAATCCTTGGCAAGCTGAAAATATCTGGTTGTATAAATGGGTATATAGGGTATAATGTATTTGAGATACATCCCTGTTACATAACAGGGAGAAGGAAGCATCGCTGACCTGAAATGGTATATATATAACCCTGGTCAGCATTAACAGTCCAGATGATCAAGCTTCTGTACATCCGTTCATCCATCCGTATGGACGTAATCGTCGATCTCAGAACCTAAAGAACTACAGAAATGTAGGTCCTTCTAGTGCCCACGCAGCTCAAGCTTGCCTCCGATAATCAATAACTTGCCCCGAGCAATCGAGAAATATCGATATTGAAATCGTAGATTCACTAAAGAGAACTTAAGTTCTGTTTTAAAATTTTAGAAAAATGCTAATTATTTATTTATAAAACATAGAATAAAAGAGTGGCTAATATGTCCATATAGAAACCGACTAGTTTTGTTCGGTGCTCAATTAAAAATAATTCAAACGTTTCGCTTGTCATTCAAATCATATTTTATTTGCAATTCGCTCATAAACAAAACTCAAAAATCGCTGCAAATTACAACAAAATTGACACATAAATTGCCATATCAGTTTTACAAATTTATCCTGCCATACCTCTGCCCTCTTCCTCCGCGCAGCAAAGAGCTATTAGAGAACGGGGCAACTAACTAACGAGCTGGCATCAGAGAGAATTTTATTGTTGTTCGGGCGAATGCAAATTTGACAATAATAAAATGCAACATATGACAAATAATCGCACATATTTGACAATAAAATCAAACGGAATGTGCGGAATATGTGGAAAATGCGGAAAATGGGTAGAATGCATTTGGCCAAAGCCGTTTGAATATTAGCAAAATTCGATGGATGCTGAAATCACAAAAGCAAACACAGCACAACACACACACACATACCCAAATTAAGCATAAAATGTGATCATCTGTGTTGACATGAAGATCAACAACGGGCAGGCAGGACACCCCTAGGGTAACGCTCGGATAACCAAATTGTAACACCAGCAGCAACAACAGCAACAACAACAACAAGAACAACAATAAATGCGTAAACTGCTGACAAAGTCATGAGAGGGGGATGCGACCCTCAATTCAAATGGCAATTTACTGGGTGTGGACACACAAGCACACACACACACATGCGCGTGTGTTTATAGAAAATTATAACTCAAATTTAATTTGCAACAGATGCGACAGCATCCAAAATCCAACAGCGCTGACTGCAACAATTAAGCAATACACGAAACCCGGACGGACCCATGCCCGAACCCAGTTGTCGCTCCGGTTTTGGTTTGAACTCTGTCACCCTTTTATTTATTTTTTTTTTTTTTCATTTTGAATGGAAATTGTGCTGTGCAATTGTTACAAATTACCCGCTAATAGCTGATGAATTGAATTAGACAGTTGCCATTCCCATTGCCAACTGTGACAGCCTTTGTGCTCCGGTTCAGGCTCAACTTCAGACAACACTTGGCCACTTCAAGGCAACCTCACACCAGATATATAGCGCAGCATCAGCAACCACATCAGACCGCAGGCCAATGCACAGTGGTTCAAGATGTGCCCCCGATAATGATGCTGCTGAGCTACTCTAATGATTCTATGGTTCATGTGTTTGCAGTTGAACTTGCCTGTTTGATGGAAAATCTAATTAGGGACAATCTTTTTATGATGAAAAGGGGTTTATTTTCGAAAGATACTTCTTTTTTACTTACTTGCTACATGTATATAGGTTAGTCAAAGAATTAACCCAAGTTTTGCTTAACTAATGTTTTTGTTTAAATGATTCATGATTCATTCATCTAATACTTATATGAATCGCAGCCATGAAAATGTTTTTAAACAATGCGCTGTTCCCAAAAGATATTTCCAATTTAATCTTCATATTAAATATTAATCCTGTTATTAAGTTACCTATTTTGATTTTGTTTTTGCTTCTATTTTAAGGCTATTTATTTCCTTATTCAAGTTCTATTTTCCTAAGCTCTTCCTGCTTAATTACGCACCACTGTATACAATATAGAACCCTAGGATAACATTAGCCGAAATTCATTCATTGAAACGTCTTCTCGCCACCTTCCCTTCTCAGCTACCCCCTTCTCCCTTCAGCTCTCTGTTGACGCAATGCGTTGCGTGTTTTGTGAGTGTCTGCTGGATAACGAATGAATTTTTATTAGCCCATCGGTCGCATAATCAACCCAAGAACTGCTGCATAATAATAACAATAACAACAACACTGCGAGCATATCAAACAACCAATAATAACAACAATATAAAGCATACATCGTGGCATACATCTGCCGCCCCCCCCTCTCCAACAGAGTTCTCTTTATGAGCTAAGGTCGCGCTCTTGCGATACTTGAGAATTACGTGATAAAGTGGCCAGACTTGTTCCTCTCTGACGTCGTTTGAGAATTGTAGAGGCGATTCACAATCACCGTTTATTTCCCATTTCAATTATAAGCCCATCCAGCTAATTGTATGGGCTGTTTGCGAAGGATTTAGCGCTGTGTTCGGGCAAGGATTACGAATTGTTATTTATTTAAAATTTGATCGGCAAGAGTATACATTTAATCAAGCGCCAATAAATAGAAAAAAAATAAAAGAATAAAACTTTATTAGGTCGTACCAAACTGAGGACTTTGTTCCAATTAACTCTGATTGCTGGCCGATTAATCTACGGGCTATTACTCTATATAGTGGCAACAACTTCTCGATGTTGTCACGTTTGATTAGCCATTAGCTTCGATTAGGCCACGTATCACAGAAATTTCACGATTTCCCTGCTCTCAGATAAGACCAAGACATGGTTTATTATTTTTTTTTTTTGTTTGTTTCGTTTTTATTTTTTATTTTGCTTTTTCCACAAGTTTTTAATTTTTAAACGGGACCTGATTGCGGAAATGGAAGCTCACCATGATTTTGGATTTTATATGAGTGCTTTCTGCTGTCTTCGTTGTTGTTGTTGTTGTTGCTGTCGCTGTTGTCAGTACCAGCAACATTTTAATTAGCAAAATAATTCTTAAGTGACACTATAAATTTAGACATAATTATTGTCTGAACAATTAAATTGATTATCTGCTCGCAATTTTGATTTATTTGCCGTGATAACTCGTATCAGCGAAACGGGACTCGTATAAAATTAAAAATTGTACCTGTTTGGCTTTTTTTATTTTATGACTTTTATAAATATACACCATTAATGGTTTTGGGGGACGCACATACTAGATAGCTCTAAATTCTGGGCATGCGATTAGATACTTGGCTTTGAGAGTTGAGCTACGAGTACATTGTTTTTGACGAATCGAATCAAATGAGAGCTGATTGAAACCTTACTCAAAAGAACTAAAACACAATAATAAGCTTTTGATTTCAAGAGCCTACCCAAATAGAATTATCAGTTCTTAGTTAAATAACTCAGTGCTGGAACTTAGTTAGGCAGTAGCATATTTATTTTTGATTTTCGTTAAATTTATTTTACGGCTTTCATAAAATTCATGGTGTTAAAAAAAAACGTTGCCTATCCATTGCTATTCGGATCTTTAGAATTCTTTAGGAAATTTTTATTTGAGAATTGTGTAGGAACTCAAGAGATACTTTCATTGTTAATGCAATCTATTCAAAAAAAGACTTTATAAGATTCATATCTTAAAATCTTCAGCATGTTTTTGAGATTTAAATAGTATTTTATTATATTATTTATATTAATGTAAGGGTCCTTTAGGAACTCTAGACATAATATCCTTAATCCAATCTGTAAAAAAAACGTTCTTTATGCAATTAACAACTTACGCAATCTTTTCATCTTACTTATTCAAGAAAAACCTATAATCTTCTTCCTTTTCAAACTAACTTTTTTGTCATTTCAATACTTTCGCCATATTCAGAACTCTTCAGGAAATTTTGAATAACATTTTTGACATTAATGTAGGAATTAATTCAGTACATAAAATAAACTGTCTATCCATTTCAATTTATGTGCAAACTTGAGATTTTCATATACTCCATTCCCTGAAAAACAAAACTCCATTTGACATTTGTATAGCACATTTTATTTTCGATTTCAAAATAAATGTAATAAAATTTACTAGCGCAGTCGCAAGACGACAACATTAGGCGACAACATTTCGTTTAAAATTACATAATTACAATTATTTACACAATTACACAAGAAACGATCGTGACAATTTACAAACTAAACTAAACTAAACTAAACTAATCTCATTTATTTGTATATTTGTGTATTATATTTAAAGTAATTTAAATTAATTGATAGATTGTGTGTGGTGTGTATGGTGTATATGTACATGGGGCAAATACTTTTATGTAGCAGTGTTTTATTTATATATATATATATATATTTTTCTTGTTTACATATATCACACAGTGCGCTTTGTTGTTATTTTTGTTGTTGTTGTTGTTGTTGTTGTGGACCGCGAAATCAATTCCCACATCGTTTTTATAAATACAACAACAACAACAACAACTGAAAATCAAAGCAACAACAATAATGACCAAAAATTTCAGCTAATTGCGAAGCTAATTTTGCGCAATCTCATGAAATGTATTTTTGGCCAGCTTGCCGAGAGAGAGAGAGGGGAATTGTAGGCGTGGCAAGGTGTTCAACATACAGGGTGTCTCACCAGCTGGACGTCTGTTCATTGCCTGACTAGAAATGAAGTTCCGGCTGCCGCTCCAAGCGAAACTAACTGCCGCTGCTGGCGGCACTGTTGGAGCTTTGCTGCTGCTGCTGCTGCTGCGCCTTGGCCCGCTCCTTGGCCTCCTGCTGCGCCTTCTTGGAGCGCTTCCATTTCATGCGTCTATTCTGAAACCAAATCTTCACCTGCGTTTCGGACAACATTAGGCCGCTGGCGACCTCAAAGCGTTTCGGGCGCGACAAGTACTTGTTCTGTTTGAACTGTTTCTCCAGCTCGAGCAGCTGCTGGGATGTGAACGCGGTACGCGGTCGTCGCGTCTTGCCCAGTATCGCATGATGCGGATAGGCGGCCAGTTCGGGTATGCGATGATGCAGCATGCCGGCGCGTGCCAAAAACTCAAACTGCAGCTGGGAGGGCATAAAATTGTGACCCATAGGTATCTATAGTTAAAGGGTAGATGGAGAAGGAGAACAACAACAATTTAGCACACATTGGAGTTAGTTTTGGAGCAGCTTTGATGCTCACCGGAATCGGCTTGCCGGAGGGATCCAGCGGCCTATGGAAAGCCGAGCCGCCTGGCGCCAGCAGCTGATAAGGATGTCCGCCCGCGTAGAGTGGAAAATCCTGCGGCCGTATGGGACTGTGCGGTGGCACCGGCTTCTTGAACTCATCATGCAAATCGGACATGCGCATGCCCAGATGCTGTGTATGATGCGCGGGCTGTGGCTGCTGATCCTCACAGCCCGGACTGATGGGCGGGCTGGAGCGATGCGATGAGCTGGGAGATTCAGATCTGTCGAATTGATAGACACAACGATTAGACACCCTGTAAGTGCACAATTATCTAAGCTCTACAATAAACAAGTTACGCGACAATTTTGAAAACAATTAAAAAGCGCGTCGCCTGACTGCAAAACTAATTTGTTTGCTTTGCCACCTCGCACACACCTACATGGCGTATACGTAATCGCAATTATAATGAAGGCAAACGTGACCAGCTTGGTTTGGCTTTTTGGCCATGTTGTCGAGTGCCAACAAAGCCGCTTTAAAGCCCAAAAGCATTGTTCGTATTCGCTGTTGGCATTTTGTTGGATTTACCAGGCAGCTACTGCATATGGCGGGGCTTACGCCATGTGTTATACAAGTTGAAAAAGTCATAGAGAATAGGCAAATAATTTAGATAAATTATTGGTCATATTTTAAGTAAATCCCATCTTAAGGCCAGACATATGTCGTTCTGTACCATTTGCTTTCTGTGTACTTTGCTAATAGTATTATTTTAATCACAGAACTGTTCAGTTTATTTCTGTGATTAAAATATTTGGAAATTTTCTAGAATTTTTGCACTTTTCCCATCTTAAAGAAATGCGTTATAAAATAATAAACATTTCTCAATTACAAAATCCTATACCATCTTATCCTTATAAATTTAGATAAAGACAAATAGATGAATATTAAATAGGCATAAAACGCTTGAACTACTATCATCTAAGATTTGTTTTGCGTAGGCAAATTCTTCAATTTATATCTTTAATTCCTTAAGACTTGTCTCCACTCTTGCTCCATGTTTCACACTTGCTTCCCCTCGAATCGAAGATCATTTAACTCAACCCAAGAATTAAGGCATTAATCGAAAACCCACCTGGACATGCCGTCGGGACTGGGTGAATCATATTCCCGCGAGTCGCGTATTCGCTGCAGTGCCTCGTGCTCGCTGATGCCGGCGGCAGCGGCAGCTGCGGCTGCATTTGAAGCTGCAACAAAGGCGTGATTCAGTTCCGCCTGATCCCGGGCATAGTGCAAGGCGGCCAACCGATGATCATCCACAATCATCTCGGACGCTGTCGGCGGCGGTCTATCGCTGGACTGATGCTGGCTCTTGGCGAGCAGCGCCTCGATGCAGAACGATTTCTTGGGCTGACTCTGGGCCTGCTGCAGCGCCGTGTTCGAGGGCGGCGAGCAGCTGGCATTTGGAACGGGCACGGGCGGTGGCGGCGGCAGCGCTGTTGCGCCAGCTGGCGCATTGGTGGGCAGCATTACGGTTGCAAGCGGCAGCCGTGGCAGCGAATAGGCGCCATTCACCAGGGCCGCATGTGGCACATGATGTGACGGGAAACCGCCCTCGACATAGAGACGCGGATGCGGAGCATGTGCGTGTGCGTGCGTATGATGCGTTGGCGTTGGCCCCGTCGCCTGACAGGCCAGCGGTATGGGCGCCACCAGCAGCGGCATGGCGGGCGCTGCAACTGCCAGCTGCGACTGTGATTGCGATTGCAGTTGTTGCTGTTCCGCTGGGCCGCTGTCCTGAGATGCCGCTGGGCTGTGTGTGGGTGCGTAGGCGCTGTACGGTGAACCTGTCGTGGCCGTGGAATGCGTTGGACTCGAAGCTGCTGCAGCGGTCGCTGGACTGTGACTGCCGCTCGATCTGGGTGAGGGCGACAGCGTCGAATTGTTGCTGCACTGATCGTAATCAACGGAGGCGGCAACGGCAATGGGTGCGGCGGGTGGTGTTGTGGTATTCGCGCGGTGCTGCGTGGCGGCGGCTATGTGGCTAATAAGCAGCTGGCTAATGTGCGGCGTCTGCTGTTGCGGCTGCTGCTGCTGCTGCTGCTGCGTGTTCGGCGGCGGCGGCTGAGACACTTGTGCACTGGACATGCTTTGTCTTACGACTGTCTTTGCGACTTGCGACTTGCACTCTTATGCTGCTTGCTCTCAATATTATTATAATTGTTATTGTTATGATTATTTAATTTTGATTGTTCTTTAAACACTTGCAACACTTGGCGGCAACACTAGACAGCGTGCGATTTGCTTCTTGTTGTTTTTTTTTTGTTTCTGTTTACGGCAAAGCGCGCGTCTTCAATTTCTGACTGCGACTGCGAACTCGACGCGACGAGCGCTAATCAACGACTGTGCTCAACGCCGGCCCGTGTCCGTGTCATATAGAGTCGCATATCGCAATGATTGGGCTGTTCCGAAAACCCGTCAATGTACACACGAGTGCGAGTGTCTTTATGTGTGTTTGTGTTGTTCAGAGTTTTTGGGGTGGGTTGACGGGCAGCGCAATGAGAGAAATGTCTTGCGGCGGCTGGGCCGTGTACACTGAGCGCAATATCCTATTATCTACTTTCCAACTTATTAAAATATTTTATTATTATTATGCTAAAGGCCTCTTCTATATATGATATATACAAAAGACAAGCTTTAATATTGTCTAACGTCATCTTATAACTGATGCTTGGTCCTGGCTTACAGGCAATTAGACTTTCGAAAAATATATATATTTAAAATAAATAATTACACTACAGCAATATACAAAAATAATATATTATATATACAAAAGTAGTCCATCTTCAAACTTAATTTAATATATATTGAAAAATAATTTGTTATATACAAAAATAATCTATTAAAATAGATATTCAAAGATACAATATATATGCTATACACATGCATTATTTTAGATATTCACGTTTGTGTTTGTACTAAATGAATTTTCACAGTGTACGGTCGCATAACTTGATAATTGCCCGCCACCCGAAACTAGTTAGCACCTTCTTCGCTCACTTGCGGGCGCTCGCTCCCTTTCCTTCTCTCTCTCTCTCTCTCTCACGCTCGCTCTCACATACACAACGTTCGCTCTCATTTGGCAGCACGCTTTCAAGATGGAGGCGCTCAGCGTATGCTGACTCGTTCGCACTTGTGTGAGTGCAAGCGAGCTGGCAATATACGCAGGGCGTTGCCATTTGTTGCCAGTGGAAAAAATGTCGTGTGCGGCGTGAGTGCTTATGTGTGTGTGTGTGTGTGTGTCTGTGCGGAGGCGTGGCCAGTTGATTTGACGCTCCTGGCTGCAAAATTTCATATAAATTGTTGGAAAAACGAGCTATAATTGCCATCATTATGGAGTGTTGAGCCAGTTCTGCTGCAGACGAGTTTGGGTCTGGATCTGGGTTTGGGTTGGGGGGCCTCCACTTCATAATCAACTTGGGCGTCGGCTCTGTCTTTGTCTGGTTAGCCCGGCACATCATTAGAGCAGCAATTAAGGAGGCAGTTAGTTGACTCGACTTGACTGACATTCGTTGCGGGGCTTCAAGCTCCAGATAAATCCACGCTTTGACCATGACAGAAATCGATAATGTCCCTCGTCGTCGGCTCATTGATATTCAATTGTTATGGCCACTCAAATCGGTAGGCCGCACAATAAGTGATATAAATGATGTCCATCATCGTTTGGCAAAATCATCATCATTCGGGTTTTTATAACATGCTTGCCCAACTTTTCGTCCCAACCAGCTAATGTTCATATAATGCATTTTTTATAATAACCAACCGAAAGGGACGGGCATTCTATATATATGTCGTGCCTTTAACGTATACGTAATCTGGTAAACGTTTTATAGCTAAAACGATTTAGTTCCTTTATTGAATGTGCGTGTTGACATTTATTGTGTCACAGACTGAATTCCTTTATAGATGACATTATGAATCAGTTGCATTATAATTAGATAAAAGTGTAGTTGTAGTTGAGGCTGCTTGACTAGCTGTTACTCTCTAGTCAAACCCGAACTCTATAAATTGTTATACATACTTACAATTGAAATCATTTTAATGCAGGTTTATAATCTCATCAAGCATGAAAATTGGCTCAACTCTTACCACGTTAAGGTACTTTTAGGTCTGGAGAGTATCTTTTGGGTTAGCATAATTCTTGCTTTCATTCGCAGTATTATAGTTCAAGCATTCATAATTGATATTATTGAATTATATCTATATATATTTCCATATTTCCAAAGAAACTCTGTAAAATTTATCTCCAACTCGCCATGTATCCTTATATTGCCCATTGTCTAGAAGCAGTTGCAGCTCTGCAATCGCCTCGTAGCCCCAACTCTTTCTACTCGGTGATATCAGAGTGTGCTACCGAACCCAACCACGCCCTCAACTCTTTGTTTTCCAACTTTTGTTGTTCATCTAATGTCTGCGCCTTAATTTGAACTATTCACCTATGCCAAAATAAACAACGGACGATGCAGCTGCCACCAGAGCTGGAGGAACTCCAGACTGTGGAGTAGCATGTTGTAGTTGAGAACAATTCACATATATTTGTTGTCTAAACATGTGTGGGTAAGAACTATATCATTGCACGGGTAGACGGGCAGCCAGAAAACTGTTGGCTAACAAGAAACGTGCTAAAGTGTATTTTCTTTGGCCACGTACTTGGCCAACACGAATCCGAAATGGAACCCAAAAACTAGCTCGAAATTAGTGCGATGACTGCAACGTCGATTGCGACTGATTGCTGTTGTTCTAGCTGCTTGTTGTCGTTGCTGTTGTTGTTTAGCCCTTTCCTATTTTATTTTCATTATACGATATTTATCTACTCATCCACGTGCATTTAACTAACATTTACGGGCTGCTATGCGGAGTTGGAGCACCAGCCCGGCACAAGGCTAGGCTGCGCATTGAGTTGCAGAGATGACAGAGGGTATGCTTGGGGCTTATGGGGAGTTATGGTTTATGGCATTCTCTTTGATTTTGTTTTAGTTAACATCATTGTTATATTTTACATCAGTTCGCAAACTCCACTCAACCAACCGCTTCTTACCTCTACGCCTACTCCATGGAGTAAGTGCTTTTTCAGGCATATTAGCACGACTCTAATCAGGCATTATAAAGCAAATGTCAAGAAAGGAATAAAATTGTCGCATATGTTGCTGCAATTTGGCAGTTGTGGTCAATGGGGGCGTGCCGCAGTCAACCCCTCGCAAACTCAGTAGCAGCCACCCTTGTGTATTGGCTCAATCGTGTTAATTCAGCCGATAAATGCACAATAATGCTATAAAAATGTGTGACACCCGCTAAATTTGACAGCAATATCAAAGAGCTCCATTAGTAGGGCAAACAATGTGCCATGAGTTTTGTGTTTGAGGGTTGAGGAGCGGCTTATTAGCGCAAGGGTTGGCCTTTTCAAAGTCATTTTAAAGCCAAACGATTTGTTTGGGCAGCAAATTTTGACAAGATTTGCAAACATTTGAAAAACAATGCGCAGTTTTAAGTAGCAGTAGAATCGAGCGGTACTCGATGTCATTAATCACGCGGTCTATTCATGCCGCACCCGCGCCCATGTTCACGCCCACGTCAATTGAGCGCGACATGCAATTGTTAATTAAACAAATATTTATGTACAAATAATTGGCATTAAATTGCGTTATCAATAAATAATTTTTACGCTGATATGAACTGGCATGGGTGTACAGTTACTAAACTACAGCCACGAAGATACAGCTACATTGATATAGCTACACAGATGCAGATACAGGTACATATACAGATACAGATACAAATACAGAATCAGATAGAGATTCAGATACAGATACAGATAAAGATTCAAGAATAGATCCAGACACAAATACAGGTATAAATACATATACAGATACATTTACAAATACATGTACAGATTACAAATACAGATACAGATACAGTTACAGATTGCGCTGCATATTTAAGCATTGGCTAATTATGTTGACCGTATTTTTATTTATTCTGTTTTTTTTTTTTTATTACAATTTACAATGCAAACTGAGGCGAGTCATTGCATTTTATTAAGTGCAAAAGTATCGGTGCTTATCAAGCTATGTTCTATATTCTTTTAATTTCGATTTGCATGATGGTTATTATTATTTATTACTTAATATGTTAATATTGATTGCCTTTTTATTGGTAAATGCATTATTAAATCTCATATCGAATTATAATTTATTATCAATAGCTATGAATATTATTATTAATATCATTATTATTATTCTAATTAATTTTTTATAAATTCTTATTATATTTATTATTTCTATTATTGCTCGATATCTGCTCAAATGTGCATATTTGTATAGATTTCTGAAAAAATTAATTTTTCATCACTTCAAATGAATTATATCAATTTTTTTTTCAATTACACATTACATTTCATAACTTAAGGTAAGCAATATTCGATTCTCGCTTATAGAGTATCATTTAGCATCCATCATCAGTCATCAGGCACACATCAGCTCTCCGACATCATTATCAATACATATTTTATCTTCATCATAACATATTATATCAATATAGACTTTGGAAGTGCGCATATACGATGGCAATAATTAAGTAAATTTCATTTATTGACATAAAATTTTAATTCATTTTCAGCATTGAAAAATACTTTTAACGTATGCGCGTTTGTCTCATTGTTGTTTTTTCTTTCTTTTTTTTTTTTTTTTTTTTTTTTTTTTTTGCCTCCCCCCACTTCTGATAAAGTTTATAATTGAGTTGTGTTTTTTTCATTAAGTGAGCGAATTGATTTGCTCGTTGTTGTTATTGCTGGGACTTCCATACAGAGCAAACTTATTAAAAACTGATAAATGAGTTTTATTGAATTTTATTATATGTATGTATGTGTCAGGCAGGACAGTTGCGTATATAGGTATTATTACGAAATTGTGAACAGCCACTCTGTTAACTTTGATGACGATAATGCCACAAATGAAATTGGGGTGTGTATAAAATTTGCAAGAATGATAAGCAGTTCGACGTATAGCTCGCGAGCAATAAAAGAGGATTTAAAGAGGAAATTGTGCTGGTAAGTGGAAAGCGATTGCTAAACGATTACAAATTATTCCAATCTAGCTGTGGTCTAGAGGATTAGATTTGATGATGATAATGAATCAATTAGATTTTAACCGGACTACCCTTGTCGGTAGTGTTCGCCTAGCTAATACCCTATACCCAGCTACGAGATGACCTTATTTCATGGATATATTCACAAAATGACCCCTTCACCACAAGGGGAATACCCAGCTTAACTTGAAGTTTCTGTATGTAGGATATTATTTTTTTAATATTTTATATCAATCGCAGAACAAAACTGCCGCTGCGATGCAAATTTACAAAAAATGT